TGCACAGGCTCCTGAAACGACCTCCCACGGCGCGGGCTCGGCCAAGCAACAGCCAAGCCTTAGCTGACTGTACGACCCCTCCCAAAGTCAATCTCTTGGGTTTAGGGTTTAGGGTTTAGAACACTAAACCCTAAACCCCAAACCCAGACCATCCAGACCCCCCCAAAAAAACAACTTCAAGAGCTACTCGAACTGCTGTAAGTAGGAAATGGAAGAAGCTACCGTCCCCTTAGGTAGATAGAATATGGCTTTGCATAAGTCGTAATAAGATCCCCATATACCCCATATTCTTTCTACTTAAGGGGACTCTACCCTAAACCCTAAACCCTATCTACTTGAGGGGGACTATAGTCCCCAGAGCCAGCCCAGAGCCAGCCAAGAAGCCAACTAAGCAGCACCAGCCGCATGGACTTCCGCGGCTTCAACCCGGACATGACGACGATCCTGGCTCTGTTTAACAGTAATATTAATTGTAGGAGTATTCATAATAACAATAATAATATTAGCAGCAACAGCAACAATAATAGTAGTTAAAAAAAAAAAGATACTGACTCGCAGGGTGTGGGTATAGCCCCCCTTAAGTAGATACAATATGGGGTATATGGGGATCTTATCAATATACCCAAAGCCATATTCTATCTACTTAAGGGGGACTATAAAGGTTCTATAATCTAAATTCCTAGCATCCCCCCCCTCATAATTCTGCCCTAAATAACCCCCTACATCATCCTTTCTTTAAGGAGTTTAGACTATAGCTCACATGTTCAGGCATTTGTATCTGGCCCTGACCTGCCCGTGGGACCGATCATTTTTCGTTGGTCGACAAAAGCTTGTGGATCTTAAACTTACCTTTGGTGAGCCCGGATTGAAGGAATGGATCTTTGTAGTAATCCCTACATAACCTGTTATAATGATTTCCATTTTCTTTTCCAGCATTGTAAACTGCAAACTGGCCTGTCAACATGGAAGCCTCCCTCATCAATGGCTGAGACTGGGTTGTTCTCAAAATTCTGGGGCCCCTCTGGTTATAGACTATATTATGGCACCTACTGTTTAGGGCTACCAAGATGGGACCCTAACTTTGGGAGCTACCCAACTGTCCACGAAGTCTAGCCCACATTTCGGCCACTCAACTCCATATACACCCCCCAGTGACCTGCACCGATGCGGGGTTCCGCAGCCGGCCCATTGCTAAAGCTCTAGGCAATAATTGCCAGTGACTGCTTGACTTCTGGTGCGTTTTGCTAAAAACTGAGGAATGTTGCAACTCCCCTAAACCCTAAACCCTATCCAAAGAGCTTTTGCTTGGCTTTCGCTGCAGAAGGTTTGGAAGGCCCTCCCAGGGATTTGGGCTCAGTGCCTGCTGCACGGGTTCCGGGAGAAAATGCTATGATTACTGTTCTTGCTATTTTTTACCATTATTACGATTCACTATCATTACTATAAGTACCAGTATTACTATTATTACTATTACTATTATCACTATTACCCCTTCTGTTGTCAAGTATTGTTGGCTGGCTACTTGGCTACTTCTTCAGCAACTGCTTTGCGCCCATTTTGCCTTCGCTTCAGATTCGCTCCCAGCTGACTTAATAAGTAGGTTAATGATGGGGATAAGTAGGGTTATAATCTGGGTTATAGCGGGTTATTAACCTACTTACTAAGTCCCCCTTACTAAGTCCCCCTGACCTCTAAGTAGGGTCACAGAAAGTCATGCAATGTGTTGGCACATGTTGGAGGCTTCTTCTCACTGTGGCCCCTTGTAGCAACCTGCCGCTGGCCTACCACGAGGAAGTTAGCGCAAGCGGCAGGTTGCATTTCGGAACAAGCCCCGGCACAGCAACGAACCCTACCTCTACATCTACTTCTGTCTATCTATCTACCTATCTAACGATCGATGTATCTATATATCCACCTATATGTACATATGAGCTAGTCTAAACTCCTAGTGTCCCTCTTACTTGCGCCTACAATACTCCCCGTTATAATCCCTTATATCCCGGCCTTGAAGGAGTTTGGACCCTAAACCCGAAACCCCGCATCATCCTGTATGACTGGGTGCAGGGAGCAAGTTCTTCCGATCCGGAAATTCAAGTCCTACTCCACCCTAAACCCCAAACCCTGAACCCTGAACCCTTAAACCCATACCCCAAACCCCAAACCCTAAACCCTAAGGAGCTTTGGGCCTTCAAAACTGTTGGGGCAGAGATCTGGCACCACTTGTAAGGGTATTGCATTGTCAGGAAGGCCGACCCTAGACCCTCAACCCCTAAACCCTCAAACCCTCGAACCCTAAACCCTAAAACCCTTAAACCCTTACACGCTGAAACCCTAAAACCCTAAAGCCTAAACCCTAGATTCCCTTCATGTCCTTCTGCATCCTACAGCGAAGCTCTGATCAGCCTTCAAGTCTGAAGCTCCAAATTTTACAGTCTCATAGTTTAGGGGTCTAGGGGTTTAGGGCTTAGGGGGTTAGGGCTAAGGGTTTAGGGGTTTAGGGTTTAGGGGGTTAGGGCTAAGGGTTTAGGGTTTAGAGGTTTAGAGGTTTAGGGGTTTAGAGTTTAACGACGCCACACATGTCACCTAAGCCTTCATAAGTTCCTTTGGCTGGTGAAGGCCTTGTACGCCAGCTCGTGTGGGAACTATCACAAGATCACATGTGTTCGTCTCTCGCACATCGCTCGAGAATTCTATCACCCTAAACCCTAAATCCTAAAGATCAAGCCCTTGCAGACACGCGGTGCCCGCGGTACCAGCAAACCTAGCCACTTTTTTGCGGTTGAACACCTTGCACAGGTCGACCATGACTCGGGGTGACCGGAGCCTTCCTCCGAGACCCTGCAGGTAGCCTTTGTTTTGAAACAACAGCAATCATACGAGCAATCATAGTAGTAGTTGAGTAATATTTCACAAGGATAACGTTCAGCCCATCATCTTCGCGCATCCGGGCTGAAATGCCTCGGCGTGCTGCAGCGCTGTCCTGCCATTGCCTGGGCAGTGTGGGGAAACCGCTTCGGGAGCAGACCTCCACGAGGCATAGCCGAACCTGACAGTACCACGGTGCCTTTGTCTACAGTTGATTCCTTCGGGAACGTTTCAAACTCCTTGCTGCAGGACCTGGATTCTACAAACGTGTGAAGCCCATCACCTTGCTGGAGTCCCCTGCGCTGAGGTGTGGGAGAAGGTGGTGGCTGCTACCTCACGATGCCTAGTAAGTTTACTAGTGACCATCAACTGGCTCCCCGACGTAGATCACACGCTTATCCCGTTGGATCTTGTAGCTGCTGGAAACCGAAGCCCCATCTGCCTCAGCTGAGGACCCGACCGTCTTTCAGGACCTGGGGCGTAGAAGCGGGTAATCCCACAATCAATGACTTTCTCTGTGTCAGTCGAAATTCAGTCATGAGCCTGCCGGGCACCATGCGGGAGCCGCTGCACACACAGTCTTCGCCGGGCAAAGTAAAAACAATGAAGAGGTCTAGCATGAGTCACGACATCACGGTAGCAGAAATGCTGCCATCACCAACACTGACTAATGCTTAGGCTTCAGGTTAATAGTGACTATAAGGGGTAATAAGGATCATATTAGGGTCCTGGAATATTAGTATTATATCAGCCATGATCTAAACTCCTTAGTTATATGGGTGGCCTTTTTCGGTCCCTACTATAATACGGCACCTAATATTTATGGTACCCAAAAAGGGACCATAATTTTGACAACCACCCATATCACTATTACAGGGTGGGAGGGTCCTCCTAACTGAGGCCACTTGTCATAACAAAATGGCTTCTTCTTAGTCCGCACCTTGGCAGAAGTCTTCGTGAACTTCTTCCATACCTTTCCAAAATGGGGGTTTCCCAAACTTAGGGGTACCTTTTTGGGGATCCCTATAACAAGGACTATAGTATATTGGGGTCTATATTGGGGTGCCCTAATTTTGGGAAACTGCCAAAATAAGGGGACCCCCATATGAGCTATTGTCTAAACTCCTAGTATCCCCCTTAATGTCCTCTAAAAGAGTCCCCTATATAATCCCCCTAATTTTGGGAAACTCCCACCTTGGAAAATGCCTCCAGCTTCGGGTCAGTGCAGTAGTGCAAGATCGTCTTTCCTGCGCCGCCAAGGAAGCAGAAGGTAGGGCGGGATCCTCGGGCTCTTGCATTGTCTCATGGCGGGTTTAGGGTTTAGGGTTTAGGGTTGAGGGTTTAGGGTTTAGGGGCCAAACTTGGCTGCAGGAATCCAAATCACACTGTTCTGTTGCGGATTGAGTCTGGCTGCCTTCGCCAAGAGAATAGCAGAATAGCACCTACAAATCCAATAGCTGCTTTAAGAGCATTCCGTCACGCTCCTGTATAATCCTATATAATACCCTATATGACCCCCTTTTGAGGAGTTTGGACTATGGCTCATATGGTGACCGGCGATAATGACAACACAAGCAGAAATCCCTAAACCCTGAACCCTAAACCACTGTATGTCCTTGGACCACACCAATCTGCCCAGTGCTGTGGTAATCCACCGTATTAACTAGCAGCTTCCCTTTACTTTTCCATTCTCCCTACATAACCCCTACATAGTAGTAGCTTCCATTTTCTTGTCCATTATCCCTACATAACCCCTATGTAGTAGTAGCTTCCATTTTCTTGTCCATTGTCCCTACATATCCCCTATATAGTAGTAGCTTCCATTTTCTTTTCCGTTGTCCCTACCTATCCCCCATATTGTAGTAGCTTCCATTTTCTTTTCCGTTCTCCCTACACAACCCCTATATAGTAGTAGCTTCCGTTTTCTTTGCCAGTATCCCAATATACTATACCCCCTCCCTTGGCTGGCCATGGCACCTTTTTCATGCATGGCTTCTCCACTTGAGCCAGGCCCTTGTCGGCGCCAGCCACAGAGCACAGTCCAGTTCCTCCTCCTTGAGGACAAATCTCTCTCCATTTGCACTCAGCAATCCAAGATATCAGCCAGCAATGGAAGAGTGCTCACAGCAGCCATGCTAGCCTTCCGCAGATGTAAAGGAAGCTGAAACCTGCACTAGTTCAACTGCACGCGGGGAGCCCGTCCATGAAGCGTTCTCCCCTGCCTCCTCCATCTCTCGCGGCCGCCATACCAAGAAACAGAGAAAAGCACAACCATAGACCGTGAGTACCATGCAATACCACGGCCAGATACCGTCCACCAGGTAGTAGAAGGCCTTGTGGCTCATGAATGCGAGCAGTGACCACCAGTTTAGCCAGACCATGTGCCTTCGCCAGCTTTGGGGGAAGGCGAGCTTGTCGGGGAGGTTGGAAACGGGAATGGTTAGGAACGCCATGCAAGCGATGAACTCGCACAGGTACATTCGGACGCGGTCGGCAAAAGAGTCCCAGGGATACTGGTCCATGCGGCCGAAGACGCCCGGTCTCAGCAGCAGGCCACAGGCTACCAGCAAGAAGGGCCAGAGCTTCGTCATAACGCGCCCGATCGCCTGGGAAGGGCCTTGAAGCATCCCCGAAGCATATAGCCTATATGACATCCACCGCCTCACCCCAACAAACAAAAAAAAAAAGGTTCTTTAGAGACAGCCCCCGACCTCCTGACCCGCCATGGGTACCAACTTCGTGGTAAAGGCCCAAAAGAAGACCTCGCCAAGGTGCAGCTCGGGACCCAGAGGTCGGGGCTGGCGGCGTGCCAGCCGAGTGCTGTAGAGAAACAGCCATGACGCGTGGCCCAGGAAGCCCTTCCACCTCATTGGTAGATGTTCTGCAAGCACACAGAGCATCAGGACATGCAGGAGACACTCCAACGCCGGGATGAGCACGTAATCCGTTGTCGACTTCAAGCCCTCGCTGGATTTGTTGAGCAATACTTCCATCAGTATTGCCCCAAAAAGGCAGAGTGCAAGACTGCCGAAGATGCCAATGTTCCACCGTGTGCGGCTGCTTGCCTTTCGGGGTCCCTATTCTATGTGATCCTCTGTACCACGAGGAATCTCAGCATGGGATCGGAAATGAGAACAACTCACCAGCCCTCAACCCCTTCCCTGAATCTGAGTATGGGCTCGGAAGTGAAAGCAACTCCCCCCTTCCCTGCCTTCTGAGGGTCGGAGAGTTGCCAGCGCAGGGGTGCCATCAAGAGGCCTAGTATACTATAGTATATTATAATCGACTACACTATATTATTATAATAGATATGGGGATAATGGAAAAGAAAATGGAAACTACTATAGTTACCTTAATGAGGGGTGCCATCAAGAGTCCAAAGATGGCCAGCTGGAAGGTGAAGCCCAGCTGGAAGGCGACGTTCAGGGCCGTGTCGCTCCACCACTGCGGGCTGCCGCGAGCCGAGCATGCTAGCCTGGGTTGCTGTTAAGGAACTTAGTTTAAGTTACTATACTGGGGAAACCCTATGATTCACTATAATATATATATATATGTATACGCATTATTGTAACTTAGTGTAAGTTCCTTAACAGCAACCCCGTAGCAGGTTCATGAGGCAGCCCGCGGAAGTGTACAGCAGGAGCTTTGCCATGTAGTCCAGCACGCCTCTACATCTGACTCAGGGGCTCTATCAAACTCAAATTCTTGTGGCTCTATATGGGAAACTTGCCTAAACCCTAAACCCTAAACCCTTTGTGTGGTCCATAACAATTATTCCTTGGCATGATCCACGAATCCATGCCTCTCTTGCTGACAGCGCACAAAGTGCCAGAGATGAGTTCAAGGTAAGGCAAGACCCATGCCTGGACAGCAAAAACGTTCCACTCTGCATAGGCTTCATTGGAGTGGGTGATCACAACCAGGGCCACACAGATGGATCGCCAAACGTCAAAATAGAGGATGTACCTGGGTTCTTGTTGAAGTATTATCAATGGGACCTAGGCATGAATAAAATGTAAAAGGATATTCAACAAGAACCCAGGTACTCCCTGGTTGTCTTTGCTGCCCCCACCTCTGCATCCGCCGTTGTCGCTGTCGGCTCTGCAAGAGGCTCAGAGCGGGCAGCCCGCTCCGACAGATGGACCAGCAGCTTTGCCAGTGGCCCGCAGCCTAGCCAGAAGGCCAGCTCCGCGTAGTGCTGGAATTCGGGTCCACCAGCCATGTCTCACCAGATGGGGCAGATGAAATGCTTGGGCACCAAGGGCTTGCGTGTCGTGAGCTTAGACACGGGCACCAGGTATGCGACTGGCACAACAAACTTACCAACAACCTCAGGCAGGAAACTCTCAGCTGAAGCTCTCCACAGCTCATGTGATTAGATGCCTAGCCCCAAGGACCCATCATCATCATCATTACCATCATCAGCATCATCATCTCACCCAACCTGAATTATGGTCAAGCATTTCAGCCTTCGAGGCAGTTCCAACCTGATGGGCGCCTTCCTCCTTTTCCCAATGTGGTCAGATCGTGTAGCCCCAACACCTGAACGATTTCAGATTGCAAGTGGCCCACCCCACAGCTTCGATCTCACGCTGGAAGACCTCCCTGACAATAATCTCATCAAACATCATGGAACATCACCTAACTATCCTGACAGCACGGCCAGCATCAGATCCATCACCCCTGCGTGGATGCCAATGGCCCCTAAAGCTCCCACAACATAAATTTTACATTGGGGTTATATAATGGAAAAGAAAATGGAAACTACCATACTGTATTGGAGAATATTGGGGTTACATAAGGATAAGGGAAAAAAATGGAAACTACCATAATGTATAGGGGAATGTTGCTAGAACGTGTTCAGATCTTGCGTGAGGGTCTCGGGCAACTTGAAAATCCCCCCTAAACTCATGGCATAGGCCGCCCACCTTCCATGGTGGGCGGCGCTCGACATCGATGGCGCAGGTCGATCCAGGTCGCTCGCCTGCCTTCCCACAGCCAGGGGTACTGTAGCACCCACGAGAGGCCAGGTATCTGGAGGAGTTCTCCTCGGGACCGGTCCTGGTCCCTTATAAAGTCATCCAAGCGCGCTGGCTGGATTTTTCTAGGGTAGATCCTAGAAAATGTCTGGAGGTCCAGGGCCCTTCCTGCGAGCGAATTTCAGGACCAGGGGGCCCCTGAAGGCGCTCTGAGTCCAGGACGGCTTCCAACGAGAGGCCTTTAGGGGCCTCCGGTCCAGATACGTTGTTCAAGACCTCCAAGCTTCAGGGCCCTCCAGGCAATTTGCCAGGTTTCCAAAATCTTCAGCAAGTGCGCTCCCAGCAGCTCGCAGGGCAACTCGTTTTCAGGAGGCTTCCTTCAAGGGGCCTCAGGGCCCTCCAGGGTGGTCTGTTTGGTAAGGACACCCCTTGGCGGAAGATGCTGCCAAGATCGATCAATACCTGAAGCGAGACCCTGCATGTAGGGAGCCTGTAAGTTCCTCCAAAAACTTCTAAACTTCCTTGCATCTCCAAGTTTTTTTCAAGGGCCGGGCCTCCGCCTCCAGTCAGTCTGTCCAGA